GCAGCAAATTTATCCCAATCAAGAGAGCCTATTATTAATTTACAAGGACAATTGTAGGAGTCTTTATAATTTCCTTGTGCAATTATTCGCCATCAATTCTAATGGTAAGACACAAATAGTTTGCAAGAAATAGCCACTATTACTTGTCTTGCGCTTGAGCCCTCTTCTTGAGTCCTGAGCATCCTCTTTAAGTGTTGGTGATACTGGCTCCTGGGAAGCATCACAGGCTCTGTGAGATGCTGGATGCTAGCCGTCTTAAAGAGGGCAGCGCAAGAGCCGCTGCAGTGGCAGCATTGGCCTCTACCAGTACAGCTGAGCTATGGACCTGGACTTTCCTCTAAAAAGATTCTTTGTTCACCAATGAATAGCATTAGGCATGGGCTAGCTGAGGGGCCACCATGAAGTCTCAAATGAGGAGGGCAAACACCAGCTAGAGAATACAGTGTCACAGAGAGTCGCAGACATGTCTTTACATTTGTGTGCAAAATACATATTTTTACATATTATTTTGTGGTTGTTTGGGTTGGGTTGTTCCTTGTTCCTTGCATACATTTTTTTTATTGATAGACTAAGATATATTTTGTCTTCACCTTGTGTTTTCACTTTCTGCTCGTTGTGGGGCAGGGGAGATAATCGTGACAAATAATACAGGTGTTTGAGATACTAATTTGCATGGGCAAAAATTCAAGTGTGTCATTCTCATAACTGGAGAGCTGTCCTTGTCTTAACTCTTCTTAACATAAAGTCGCCTGATGCCTGGTTAAAAACAACATATTGCATGATATGAATACTCAAACCCTGCTGACTCAGAATTGGGCAGCCATCTTCTTTAATCGGAAAATTGTTTGCTTTAATTCTTGTGTTTCTTGGAGCCAAAGCTTTACTCTCCATTTAGCAATGTCTGGTCTCTTTCCAGCATGGCCACCAGAAGCCCGGCACAAAAGTCTCACAATGGGCGTCTTAATCTCTCTGTGTGCTTTTGGAGCGTTATTTTGAGCCCCATCACGCTGCCTTTTTTCTCCCCTCGTCTGAAGTTTTATTACAACAGCAGAATTCCCAGGGAGCTTTGGGGGCAAGGGTCACATAATGTAGCCCAGAAGTTTTGCTAGGTGGGAGCCATCCCCCAGTCCTCCCATCTTTTGGCGCTCTTTCTATTTCAAAAAGATTCACTGGGTAGAGTCTTTTACAGCATTAGCTGTATATGGTTTATTTTTATTTTATTTTATTTTATTTACTGGACATTGAGTATCTACAACCCTTTCATGATGCTTTCTTTCTCTGACCTCACCGTGACAAGGCATCTTGTTCTTTAACACTGAGGGAGGCAGAAAAATGCTTGAGTTTCTCAATGTGTGCCTTCTATACCAGTTTCAAAATGGCTTATTCTTCTGGTTTCCATGGTGACAATTAACACTGTTTCAAGGCATTGTTCCACTCTCCATTTGGGTAGAATTTTTAACAAAAAAAAAAAAAAGAAGAAGATGAAGAAGAAGAAAGAAAGAAAGGAAGAAAAGAAAAGAAAGAGAAAAAGAGTAAGAAGAAAGGAAAGGGGGAAAGTTTCAGGGGAGTGAGAAAAGCCTGGTGTGAGTGTCAAAAAAAGTTATCTCAATCAAGTCTGCATTTGTTACTAAATGCATTTATTTCATAAATCCCTGGTTTAACTGGCTTTGTCTTATAGTTCAGTTTTAGTATTTGTGCTTTTAAAATATAAACTATGAATCAGACTTTCAATTTTAATTCTTGGTTAAGACAATGGACTACTATTAATTCTATTTTCTTTAACTTTTCTTTATACCCAAAGAAATAGCTTTTTGGACACTAGTAGCCTGTGTCTTTAATTTAGATCATTCACAAATCTATTAAGAGGATTCATTAGGCCAAATTGAATTGGCCAAGCAAATACACTTAATAATGTAAATATGCTCTTTGAATGGAGTATATTTTATTTTTGACTATACAGAGAGGCCCACAGCAGGTGCTGTGGGAAGTTAAACACTGGATGCTTATTTACCTTAGCACTCAAGAAAAGCCAGCTGACTTTAACTTTGCTAATCTCATTTTTGGCTATTGAAAACTGGTCTGTATGATAACATCCCCAGACTATGGGACATAATGGGGCAGCTTCTGCTCATTTACTGCTCTGAGTGAAATGAATATGAAGATTAAATTATCTTCTCAGCACAGGGTAGAATAGCTCACTTGATAGGTGACCAAGAGTACATAGATCTAATGGCTGATTCTCCCAATCTAATTCTTCTAAAATGTTGCTAGTTAGAGAAGAACAAATGCATAGCAGAGTCAACAAAAATGCAACCCTTCTGGCATCATTACACACAGCCTTGGGGCCCGAAGTCATGTTAGATTCAACCTTCACAGTGTCTCAGAACTCAAATGCTTTCACCTTAAATTACAGGACATTCTGGTACTCTCTATTCACATATCAATCTATCTAACAATTAACTAGGTCCTCTTAGCTTCTATTGTTTGAAGGCATTGCCTATCAATTGTGTCTTTCATCAGGCTGTTTATGTAATAATACAGACAGCATATATAATAACAAGGATTTTTAAATCTAGTAACCATCTTAATAGCTATTGCCATAACTACTTATACAACATTACATAGGAAAAATTATTTCACTGTCTAAAATCAAATTAATTGCTTTTTGTAGTTTCATTATTGCAAGGCTATCATTTTCATGAGAGAATCTAAACTATCCTCCTTTCTTGCTAACACTTGATGGAGGAGACTTTTAAAGTTGGGAAAAAGAGAGGCTGAGTTTCCACAAGAAAAGCCAATAGCTAGTAGAAGCCATTCCCAGAAGGCACAACTGTAGGACTCTCTCTGTTGATTAATACACATGACATAAGGAAAGATTTGAATAATAGTCCTCTTCGTGGCTGAAATACGCACCCCCCCCACATTATGTCAGTCTTACCTAATTAGTTATGTAAATCTTACATGGGAATCTGATTGCATAAAGCAGCTTGCCTCTCCTCTAGTCATCACTCTGACAAATAATATACTATCTGGGTTTCTACAATACTTGTTGAGTATTGAGTTGAGAAAACTGAAGTGGACAGTGTGTTTTCTGTAATGGCATAACATGATCGTGGCAATTGTCTGCAGTTAGACATGTAATCAGAATTTCCCATGTTTCACAGTCCAAATTCTGAAAGAGCTCTAAAGCAACCCTTGATTTTCTTCAATATGCATATTCATGCAATTTTGGATACTCTGACATCCTGATCAACATTCATTAATAATATAAAATGCTTTAAATCACCTCATTTAAAACATTTTGTTCTGTGATCCACAAATGCCTAACATTTGGAGAAGTTTACACAATACCAATGATGTGCATGCTTAGTGTAAATGGAAGATGAAAATATGAAAGTGAAAGTGTGCAAACACATGCACAGACATGCTGAAGATCTGGTACCTGAAACAACTTTCATACCATCTTTTCTTTCAAGCTAACCCCAATTCTACTTTAGAGTTTTATATAAGATGTTTTTCAAGGGGACTAAAAATCATCCAAGCATTTGGGAATATTAGGAACCAGAAGACTGGGAATAGTTTGCCCACACACAAGAATTGTCCTTCTTAGATCTAATGATAGCGTTTACCTTGGGGCAGTCATGCTCACTAGGGCAAAGGAGCAATGCCACCGTGGGCTCACTCACCTGATTTTGTTGCTTTAAACTAAGACATCTTTGGAAATGTGCATTAGATTATAAATACATTTAATACTTTCTCCATGACCTAATTTTATATGCAAGTATATTTTGATGCACACATACATATGATAGGTATTTCAGCTGTTCACAAGACTATCTTATGAATGTTTCCAAATACAGGTATTTGAAGAATACCACCATAAAAATGTTTTACCAGGTAACTCTTCCATTGTCTCCAGGAAACGTCTCTTAAGAGTCTCACTAAGACTCTTGTTAGAATATAGAGCATATCAGTGGGGCCAGGAAGCTTCAGTAATCAGCTGAGAAATTCAGGGCAGCTCATGGTAATCGATAGGCACTTGTAGATCTATCTATCCCAACGAACAAGTGTGCTTTCTTCCTCTTTATATGTGTTTTTTCTCTTTAGCTCTCACAGAGTTTTTAGGTAAAAGAAAAAATAAAAACAAAATAGTAATTGAGATTTTTAAGGAACTTCTAAGAAAGAAGCCACATAATTCTTATGGATAATGATTTTCTTTCAGAGATAATGTTATTAGTTTTTTTGTCCATAGTCTCTAGTCTATATGTACTAGAGACTAACCACAGGTTCTTAACTTTCATAACTCACAGCCAAATTTATGTATTATTTGTGACACAAACATTTCCCTCTGTCAATCACCTTCATTTGAAAAGTGCCTCTCCTTAAAAAAGTCGCCTCCCATGCAAGTGGCTGATACTTGTTTCACAGAAGAAAAAAACCCATTGAACTTCTCCAAGAGATATCTGCTGAGGGAACAGACAGGAGGGGCAGCTCTAGAGCCAAAAATGGTGACCCAAATGAACTGGAACAGTAAGCCCTTCCAGGCCAGACACTTCTTATTTACTACAGTTTAGATTAAAAACACAAAATATGTACAAAATTAGTTTTAAAAGGCAAAAATCTTCAATCCCAGCACTTGGGAGGCAAAGGCAGGTGGATCTCTGTGAGTTCGAGGCCAGCCTGTTCTACAAAAGCTAGTTCCAGGATAGCTAGGGCAACACAGAAAAATTCCTGTCTCAAACCCCCCCCCAAAAAAAAGAAAATAAAAGACTAAAATCCTTGAAGGGCACAGTACAGGAATTGTTTGTGTGGCACGTGTGGCAACTGTCCGGAGTGTTTTCAGCATCAGTGTGGCACCCAAGGAGATGAGGTTTAGCCTCCCAGTAGATTTTACTGGAAAACAAGACCTTATATCCCAGTAAGTAGGGCAAACGCTGCTCAAAGGTGTTCCTAAGAAGCCCTCTGTCCCCTAATGACTCAGCCTTGCCTTGTCATTTCAGCGGTACAGTGTGGAAATGTCCATCAGGCACTTGAAGAAGACAGAACTGCTTAGCACTGTGGAGGCACTGAGGAAAGGTGGCGTCTCACTACCAAGCGATCTCCTGGAAAAAGTGGATTCAATTAATGAAAAATGGGAACTGCTTGGGGTATTTGCATTTTTATTACTGTTTGTAGGTTATGTGTACATTTTTTTATGTGGTGAAGTACTCTATCTGTCTGATTTCTAATTTGAGGCACAAATATCTCTCTCTTTCAATTCACTCCTTACATTTCAAACAAGCTACTCATGTTATTATGGGGAAAACATTGCTTTTCCTCTTCTGTTTTCTCTTTTAAATTTATTCTGAGCTGTCTCCTCTCAGATTTCAATAATTTGGGTTCTTTAATACATAAAAAAGTAAGTAAAATATGCCATGTATTAAGGGTATGCACCAAGTCAACTCTAATACAGTATATCTGAGATACACTGACTGTCATGCTTGGATGAATGTTAATAGAATTTGTTCTGAAGGTACACGTTAGAGACATCCACTGTTTAACTATTCAGTGTATCCTTAAAATGAAGAGTGGGGTTGCCACTGTGGCTTTCAGGTCATACTAAAGCTACCAAATCAAATATGCAAATTTGACCCAAATCTCAATGGCAGAATTAAATCAGTCTCCTTCTAGTGCCTCAACTTTTAGGGCACTTTTAACAAAAGCCAAAAAAAAAAAAAAAAAAAGCCCAAAAGTTTCATGTAGTTCCCAGTCAAAGAAACACAAGAAGCTGGCCCAAAGGCAATATAGACATTCTACTACGCAGAGGCCTGGATGGCTTTGTGCAGGAGGCAACACTGTCTTATTGTTGGATGACAGCTGAGAGAGAAGTTAGCCTGTAGTTGCTTATCAGCTCCTCTCCTAAATTGCCTTCACTTCACATCAAGGGTAAGCTAAATTTGCCAATTACCTAAATGATTAGTTATAATAGCTACTATGGGTGGTGTCAGTTACAGAACATAATTTTTCAAGCCCTCTATTTTTCTGCCTCTTTAAATTTTTTAAAAGAAATAATACTCTAGAAATATTTTGAATTAGGAGCTCTCCATGTTCTGTGATGACTTGGAGACATGCCAGTGTTCCGTTTATGCCATGCTTAATCTAAGTGATTAAAAGCCTGCACATGTAAGCCCTCGTTTCTCATCTAAATTCTCTACACTCTGCAGTTGTTCAAAGTAACTTAAAAAATCTTAAAAATTCATACTCTTACTTATTATGGCCGTGCCTTTTAATGATAATTAATGTAATTGCTTTAAAATATGGAGGCTTAAATCAGGACCTACTAAATTCTACAGCATTCATTGCTCTCAGGAGAAATGTGATTACTGTATGATATTTTCGAAGGTTGTTTACAAAATAGAGAAGAATAGCAACTTTACTGGGCTCATAGATAAAGTGATAAACAGTTGACAGTGCATTTAAATGTATCTTTCCTAATTTGATAAATAACAGTATTCCCTTAGAAAACTGTTTAAAGTATGTCATGAATATCAATTCCTCACCAAAAAAATTTTTAGATTGTTATTGCATTGAAGACACGGCATTTAATTAGTCTCTATGAGTCAGATGTCATTCAAATAGTTGCCATTTTGACAATATATCACTCAAATACCATACAGTTTTGCAGTAATTTGGGGAGAGTAGGATGGAGAGCTGAGTTTAATAAAGCTGAAGCCGCACTGACACTGTAGGCATACTGCTTTAATTGGCATGATTACATTTTAATTGGCATGAAAAAATTAAAGACAAGGATTTTCACTTCTAACAATAGTAAAATAGAGGGATATGGTTTTTAATATTTCTTTCATCTAAGGTGAACAGTGTGGAATGAAAATACATTAGAATGAAATGTCAGTGGTGCGTACAGTTTAATCTGTGAAATTTTGTCCCCTGTGCTGCATATTACTCTGTCTCAATTGCATATTAAACAACCCTATCAAGGCAGGCATTGGCATCTGCTGCGCTGACACAAATTGTGAATTAAATGAAATTGATGTCCTCTGTCGTATATTTATGAAGACGGACCATTCTCTGAAGTATTCTGTTTATAAAGAATTTATGATTGCAAACTGTTCCAGAACAAAAAAAGTGGCAATAAATTCCTTTTTGTGACCCTAGCCTCCAAGGGCATTGATTTCACCTCCTGCTGTTACTTTTGTTACAGCATAAAAACAATAGCTAAATCTGGATTCCACTGAGGGTCTTCAAATTATCAATATTTGCACCATGAAAGTGTAAGGGTGTTACCACAAAAGGCTATTTTTCTGTCATGATCTCCTAAAGATACTGTTTACAGAATACCATGGAGCAGATGAATGTTTGTTGACTTAATTTTATTTGTGTTTTAGAGCATATTTTTCTAGGTTTACTTTATCATTTTAGATTAAATCCTATTGATTCTGGAAAGAGAATGCTTCTGCCAAAGAGAAAGAAAAGAAAACCAGCTCGAAAATTCCTCTGTGCCATAGCGCTTAGTATACGTAGGCTCATCGCACAGCAAACTGAGGATTGTTTTAACATACCTATTAAATTATCTGAATCCAAAAGGAAAACCAGGAAGAAACTTGGGGCTAAAGAACCCTACGTCATATGAAACTGAGGACAGTCAAAGCACGGGCTATCTCCTTAAGAGTGCTCCTTCACATTATTTGGGGAATTATACTTCACAGAAGAAAAAAAAGGGAATTTTATTCTCTGTACTCTTGGCCTCTGTACACTGATGAAATTCAGGTCTCTATCTCTCTTGAACACTTTATGTAGACAACTCTTCACTGTAACATTTTTGCCATGAGAACTGAGATGAATTTTTGTCCATGATCATGGTAACTTGGACCAAGTCTCTTTTCTGTGAAAGGCAAGTCCAAAGAATGAGGTTTGCTTGTGCATCCACTGGTAGTGGGGATGATGTTGGCTATGTAAGCAAGCCCTAGAGGTACCATCAAGCTAACCAGAGGCAGGCGAATATCAGTATTGAGAAGGAAGGGATCACTATGCATGCTTACCTTATCTTCTGCTATGTGTTTTTGACATGCCAGTTAATCTGTTTTTTTTGTTGTTGTTGTTGTGTTTTTCTTCCTTTTTAATCTGATGCATTAGAAAGCCCTAAGAGAGAAGATACAGGACACAATGGCAGGGCACAGCGGGTCGGGCCCACATGACCTGCTGTCTCCTGAAAGCGGAAGCCTGGTAAGGCAGCTGGAGGTCAGGATCAAAGAATTGAAAAGGTGGTTAAGAGATACGGAGCTTCTCATCTTCAATTCCTGTCTGAGACAAGAGAAGGAAGGAACGAGTGCTGAGAAACAGCTCCAGTACTTTAAGGTAATAAAAAGAACAATCAAAGTTGATAAAAAAGGTTTCTTTATGAGAGAGATGAAATATTTATCAAGTACATAAAGTATTGTGCTCATGCATCTGTGTATGGCTGGACCCTTAAATGCTTCCTGAAATTTACACACTTCTTATGTTAACCTCTGTATGTGTCAAAGAGGAACATCAAACATATCAAACACACACTGTATAGAGGAAGTCTGCTGGCGGTGTGTTTGTGCAATGTCTGTTAGAAGAGGACTTAGATAAATTAAAAGCAGACCAGCAAACATGGAGATTACTGAGGACTCTAAAAGATCTAAGTGTTCCATAAATAGCTTAACAAAATGTACTACCGTAAATTGATATGGTAAAAGTGCATGATTTAATTGATATCCATTAATGCTAACAAAAGAAAATATAATTTTTACATATGAAAAAGTCAGCTATTCACAAAGGAAAGAAATAAGAGAGATCCCATATTATAGGTGTATTCCACTGTAAAATGTTGCTTACTCTAGGCAATAAGATTGATATTGTTTTTGCGTTTATGTCCCACAGAAAAACATTCTCCACATTTTTTGTTCTTTATATGGTATCAATTGGATCAAGGTTTAAGGAGATTTTTTAAACATTTACTTGTGTGTGCTTGTGTGCGTGTGAGTCTGTGTGTGCGTGTATATGCATGCGTGCGTGTGTGCGTGTGTGTCTGTGTGTGCGTGTATATGCGTGCATGTGTGTGCGTGTGTGCATATGAGTCTGTGTGCGTTTGCATGCACTTACGCACGTGTGTGTGTGTGTGTGTGTGTGTGTGTGCGCGCGCATGCACTTGTATGAACCCTCATGTGCCATAGCATGCATGTTGAAGTCAGAGGATGGCATCCTACAGTTGGTTCTTTCTTTCTACCATGTATGTTTCGGGGATTGAACTTGGTCATCAGGCTTGTGGCGAGTGCTTTACTCTCTGAAGTATCTTGTTGGCCCATGGAATGCAATTTAACATTTAAATGTTTTACCTCGTTGCCCAGAAGATCCCATACCGCATGAACATGCCAGTAAAACAGTGATTTTTGCTTTTGGGCTGGTCAGTTTGAGATTTTGTGGCTATGGAATGAATTAGTGGCAAGATACGTTATAGCATGGAAGATCTTAAAAAGGAAGAAAAGACCAACTATGAAGGAAAGAACTTTCTAGAACAAGCAAATATTTCTTCTAATAGGACCAGGCTTTATTGACCTGATGCCATCTAGCAATCTATATAGTCATCACACATTTTTTTCTCATCTTGCTCTCTGCTGTAACATAAAACAGGGCACCCTCAAAGGCATTTCCCAGTAAACTACCTATATCACACTCATATAAATTATTTTAATCAAATAATTCATCTTCTGCTACTGCATTGAGAAGTCCAGATGACCAACTTGTCCCACTCAAGGCACACTACAGGGAGAAGGAGCACTCAGGAATGTGTCTCTGTATCATTGGAGCATAGCATGCATCTTATGTAGCATTTGGACAACTACAGGGGTAGGTACTGTAAAAAATTTTTAACTTCCATTGTATCTTTATTGCAGCTTTAGTGAACTGACTAGTGTCCCCAGCTTTGGAATTAGGTCACATTTCAGTCCCATTAATTGTTTGACAGGTGGTCATGTTTCTTACATGATTCCATGATTCCTTGACCTCTCTCTGTATATGTAAAATGGGCTTCTAATACTATTTATTTTGTAGTTACATATGTAAGTTATTATTTTGCTTTATGTAGTGAGTGCATTCATATAGAATAGAAATCTCTTGACATTGTAAGCCCTAATGTGGAGATAATAGTAAGTTACCATCACAAATAGTGTCGGACTACCTACTTATTTCCAGGTCTTTTACATTAATATACATCCATATACATGTGTGTATACATATATATATATATACACAAATATATGTGTTATGTGTATATGCATTTGGAATAAAGTGCTGTTAAGAAAGCATATGCTAGCCAGGCGTTGGTGGCACATGCCTTTAATCCCAGCACTCGGGAGGCAGAGGCAGGCGGATGTCTGTGAGTTCAAGACCAACCTGGCCTACAGCTCTAGTTCCAGCACAGCCTCCAAAACAATACAGAGAAACCCTGTCTCAAAGAAAGAAAGAAAGAAAGAAAGAAAGAAAGAAAGAAAGAAAGAAAGAAAGAAAGAAAGGAAGAAAGGAAGAAAGAAAGAAAGAAAGCATATGCTATTATTATAGATGGAAGCATAAGCGCGTCACTTTTGTTGTTGCTTTCAAGGGACAGTAGCTTTGATCTCTAGCTTTATGTCCTGTAAATATCATTTTCAGCCAGGCCTAAGTAACAGATTTTAAAGTATGAAAGACAGAAATGGGTGGAAGAAGAAGTTGAGGGAGAAGGAGAAAGAAGGAGGTAGGAAAGGAGGGGAGAGAGGAAGTGGGATCAATACAAGGAGGAGGACTTAGGACTTCGGGTCACTGAGTAGTACCGAGAATTCTAGTCTTTCACAGAAGTTATGCTGCCATGCTGTCTCCAGGAAGGCATTACTACATCTAGTAACCTAGCTCAGTGTTTGAACGGTTATTTCAGTATAGCAGAGAGCATACTTTGTTCCACTGTCTCTACTTCAAAATGTCACTATCCAGAGTCATCTGTGTTTATACCCCCGCCTCATTAGCAATTTTTTAAAATTGTTTTCCTTCACCTCTTTGAGGTTTTTTTTTTTTTTTTTGGTTGTTGTTGTGGTTTTTTGGAGGGGGGTTAGGGTTTTGTTTTCCTCGCTTTCTTTTTTTTATTTTTTATTATTTATTTTTAAGTTCAAATTTAGATTAGAAACAAGGTTGCTTCACAAGTCAGTTCCAGGTCCCTCTCCGTTTCCCTCCCCTCCTCCCACACTCTCCCCCAACCCCCCCAATATCCCCTCATTTCCCCAGGGAGGGTGAGGCCCTCCATGGGGGTGTCCACAGTCTGTCATTTTCATCCAGGGCAGGGCCTAGACACTACCCCAAGAGTTCAGGGTGAGAGTAGATCTCACATTGTTGAATGGGAGTCCAAAGTCCATGTGTATACTCTAGATGAATACTGATCTGCTGCCCAAGGCTCAATAGATTATCTAGGCCTCCTCACTGACACCCACATTCAGGGAGTCTTGATCAGTTCCCTCGTTAGCAATTTTTAAATTCTGTACTTACAACAGAGAACCTCCTGTCCTAAAGAAAAGGTAAGAAGATTAACCAGTAACACAAACCTAATCATTTGGTTCCTATCCTTGCCCTGTCCTCTGCCTTGCTCCACTAAGGCAATCAGGATCTCAAGTCCAACATTCATTACACAATGCTTCATACAGTTAAATTGAATTCCTTAATGTTAGTTGCTTTTTATTTCATTACAGAGATATCCATGCTGTAAGCTACACTTTAGGACTTCCTTTTTCATTCACGATTATAATACAAAGATCATTCATGGTATTAGCTGTGGTAATAATGTACTTCCTTTGAAAACTCTACTTCTCCATTTTGAATATGTAAATATATCTCATTTAATCTGAATAGCATCGCTATGAATTAGCTATGAGGACCTTGATTTGGGTTATATGAATCAGAGGCACAGGGAAGTCAAGTTTTGTATGTTCAAGGTTATCTTTAATGAATAGTAGCATTATATTGAGATCCAGGACTCTGTGGCTCTAATGATCTTTGGATGAATTGCTATGTAAAATCGATATTAACTGATATTTCCTAAGTATCCTTCCATATCAGGTGACTCCAAAGGAAAGACAGCACAGAAGTGCATTTCATTGTTTCTTTCATGTAGATTTATTAGTTACACTCTTCAGTTTTTTAGCCAAAAGCCACGGCTTTAGCTATAATAGATGGGGTGTGCATATGTCAAGGTTAGGTCTCCATTTTTTCACAGTATCAGGGCACTTTGCTACATGCCATCTTCTAAGGCAAAGCTCCTCAAACATGTGGAGCCCTGACATGCTTCCTTTAAGACACAAAAGTCAGCCGGGCGGTGGTGGTGCACGCCTTTAATCCCAGCACTCGGGAGGCAGAGGCAGGTGGATTTCTGTGAGTTCGAGGCCAGGCTGGACCAACAGCCTCCAAAACAATACAGAGAAACCCTGTCTCATAAAAACAAACAAACAAAAAAAAGACACAGAAGTCAACTTTTTTCTTCTCTTTATGATGCTAGGCTCAAACACAGACCGTGTGCATGCTAGACAACTAGCTGCTTTCCCACTAAGTGTGTTCCCATGCCCGGAGTCAGCCTTTGTGAGTTTGAGTAGACAAGTTTAGGAGATTTGGTAGAACACTTTTTTGTTGTTGTTTTCTTAAGAAAAATTAATACATGTCTGTTGGAATACATATCTTTCATAGCCAAAATGTTAATATTTATAAGCCATTTGCAAGTTACCCTCAGTACTTCTTGTGTAACTAATCAAGTGTTCTATGCCTTACCAGAGTCGTTGGTATAACAGAACCAAATGTTTGCCATTTAGTATAAAATGTAATATAGTCTTTACGATGTCTCAATCATAACTTGTAATTATCACACGTAGAATAAAACTTTTTGCTTGCTAGAGTCTAAAGAAAACAAAGCTTGAAATAACTCAGGTCAGGGAAGCATGAAGACACTCTGTGTGTGGAGCTTGGGAAGGCTGCGTGCTCTGCATCTCCTGTGGGTTCCCACGCATCTTCCGCCATCACTGGCTGCATAGAGAGCGTTACCTCCAGGCCTTAGCTCTACTGCTTGTTGTTCTCTGAAACCACAAGGCTTTAATGCTAGAGCCCCCAGTGCAGGACCCAGAAGACAGAAAAGAGGTGCTGTATATAAAAGGGAAAGTCCATCCTTTTGTGGACAGAGCTGCATTTCCTATTCAGCATGGTATGTGATAAGGAAAGAGATCAGGATTTTAATGTTTCAGGGAAAAAGAAAAAGGCTATTATAGAATTAGTTTTTCTGTAAGGCAGTAATTGTGGTAGATGAGGGATTAGACATGAGAAAATTCTGT